TCAGAGAATCCATGTGAATTATCCAAGCCAACACAACAGAAGTGGCAAAGCCTGCCCTGGAATCCTTCTGACTTGTTTCCAATGTCTTTCAGCAAGTATGGAGTATCAGTGGCATGGAGGAGACATAAGTCTGTTCTGAATGGTCAGAGAGCTGGATAGAGTGAGTGAGTTTGGTCAATTTCCAGAAAATCCGGGTCATTGGGAAAGGAGTCCTACGTGGTACTGTGAGTTCACTCCTTCTGCCTCTCTATCTGCTCAGCAAGGACAGAATGTGCAAAACAGATCTCAGAATCCACATCGAGCTCCAAAACAGGCCCTGAGCTCTGCCCTGTCCACGACGACCGACTTCAGGTCTTGCAGGTGTACCTCTTCTCACAGTGGCAATCACTGTGTGGTAGCAGAATAAAGAGGAGAAAGGGCAGAGCAGCTGGGGGTGGAAGAGCCCAGTTGTGGAGTGCAGCTCTGTCTCTCTTTGCCTTCCTCCTGGCACCTCTGCCTATGGCAACCACCCAGATTGTGTTTCTGAAGGCCATTGCTTTCTACCGATTAACAGCAGCCAAGGAACTAATGACTGAATGAGTCAGGGGAGTAAAGAAGATGGATTATATCATAAGCTTTGATACTTGGCAAATGGAGGCTGAAATCTCAGCTCTACAGCCTGCTCACAACATGCAAAATGTATTTCTGACAGGAGAATATTAACATCCATCCCATAAGGCCGCCAGAGGACTAAACACTACGGCCCTTACAAGATTTCTAGAACAGTGCCTTGTATAGAGTAGATGGTCAATAAAGGCAGCTCCATGTTCATTATGCCTCCTGTTGATGACATGTGTGATTTCATCTGAGGCTCTGGAAGTTGAAAGCTGCTTCAGGATTTGAGTATTTCTGTCATAGTGTAATTTAAACCTCTGTCAGATTTACTCGTTAGTTTATCCGAGAAGGTTTATTGAGACGCACTCTCAGCCAGGAGGGTGGAGGCATTTATTGCTCCCCACGTGCTTAACATTTCCCTGTTGCTTAAATACAGGCAGGGCTCTGTGACTAGTTCTTCTGCCAATGGACTGAGAGCGGGAATTGTAGGCTGCTGAGTTTGACTGGCAGACTCTGTCTGAGCGACAGATGGCAAAAGTACGCAGACATAGATGTTTTGCTTGTGTGCGTGGCTAGGGGACTTTGCAGCTTACAGATCTTGAAGTGGGAGTCTGGTTGTGAAGCTCAGGACCTGGTGCCCTTGAGTGAGGAATGCTGCACTGGATCACAGATCATGAAGGAACCCTTGAAAATGAAGGTGAAGAGACTGTGCGGTCAGTAAGTCAAGACGTCATTAGTGCCTGCTCAGGATTTCCAAGTTTGAGGGAATCACCCCTCCTTGTCCAGGCTAAGGCTTCACCACAGGACAGATGTTATCAGCACAACAGAAACAGTATATAAGTGTATTGAAACAGCTGCTTAAAGCTAGCTCAGCCTCAGTTTTGCAGGCTCAATGAAAGGACTTAATACAGACTGTTGTTTTCCATAACCCATGATTCTCAGCAGAAGGCACGCTAGAGGTAGACCAAGTGAGGAGAAATCTTAAGTAGCATTATGCACTAGGGCAACGGGTCCCAGTAATACCTCTAACGTTATAGGCCTCAGTCAAGGCTGCTCTGGCCCCGCTATACACAGCAGACCCTAAAAAGGGAAGGGAGTCCAGGCGCGATGGCTCACGCCTATAATCCCAGCACTTTGGGAGGCCAAGGCAGGTGGATCATGAGGTCAAGAGATCGAGACCATCCTGGTCAGCAAGTGAAACCCCGTCTCTACTAAAAATACAAAAATTAGCTGGGCATGGTGGTGCACACCTGTGGTCCCAGCTACTCAGGAGGCTGAGGCAGGAGAATTGCTTGAACCCAGGAGGCGGAGGTTGCAGTGAGCTGAGATTACGCCATTGCACTCCAGCCTGGGTAACAAGAGCGAAACTCCGTCTCAAAAAAAAAGAAAGAAAGAAAGAAAGAAAGGGAGAAGGAGCCATCACCTACCTTACCGCCTTCTCCATCTCCCTCAGTCTCACTGTTACAGAGTAGAAGTGCCACAGAGGAGACAGAAATTCTCCCCGAACCCCCTCCTCCAATAAATTAGAAAAAAGAGGAAAGATACGCTACAGCTACAGGACCCTGTCTCAGGCCATCGGTGCTAGAAGAGGAGCTCTTAGCCTGCCCCGTAACGCAAGATCGACACGGCAATCCAGTACACGAACACATTTCTTTTGACACTTTCAAAGAGATAAGAAGAAACATGAGAGCAAACGGAGCCACTAGCCCATTTATGAAAAGATTAACCAAGGCCATAGCAGACAACTGCTATATGACTCCGTAAGACTAGTCAATACTAGCTAAAACAACTTTAGAGCCCAGCCAATCCCTCCTCTAGAAGGCAGAATGTGACAAGTTGTGCAAACTACAAGCCAACCAGAATCAAGCGGCCAGGCAAGACGTAACAGCTGCTATGCTCCAGGAGAGGGGCTCCTATTCCAACTACGACAACAAATAAATTTTGTTCCCCAAGACTCTGCACAGGTGTCTTTGTGCTCTCTTGAGGCTTAAGACTGAATTCCCCAAAGTGAAGTTCAATGAAGATCCTTTATAAATATTCAACCAAGGTCTCAGGAGCCATTTGTTGAATTTATTAATCAGTTAACCCAGGCAATTAAAAGACAAATTTGTCATGCCCAGGGTGCTGATCTCTTACTGTTGCAATTAGCTTATGAAAACACTAAGGTGAATTGCCAGCAAGCCATGCAGTCAATCACAGGAAAGACAGCTACTGCCAAGGAACTAATACGAGCCCGCCAACTGGTAGGAGCTAAGACACACAAAGCCAAAATATCAGCTATGGCATTAAGGCCTCCTAAAATGAAAAAGGAGAGAAACCCAAATTGTTTACTATGCAGAGAGCCAAGTTATATGAAGAAGGAAGGCCCCAATAGTAGAGACCAAAGTAACTCAGAGAAAGAACCCCCTTCTATATGCCCCCAATGTGAGAAGAGGGAACATTAAGCAAACCAATGCAAGTCCAGATTTGATAAAAACAAGCGATCAGAAAGGAAACTTCAAGTGGCCAGCCCCAAGCCCCACTCTCAACTAAGGCAATGCCAGCGGTGTTCCTTAGTCAGATGGAAAGCCCACTGTCCTCTCGCTCAGAGCGGTCACCACTAGGAGTGCAAGACTGGATTAGTCTGTCCCAGTGAATTAGGGCTAAAAGAAGAAGACCCCAAAACGGTTGCAACCACGATCAAAAGCGCACTGCCTCCAAGAACAGTAAGATTAGTCCTAATGTGATCACCAAACTAATTGATACCTTTGACTTAGGGGTAAGATATTAGTAATGATAGAATGTCAAACTCTGCCTATTCTTGTCCCTATGTCAAAGGTAGCTGTTACTGCTCTTACCATACTAAGTCCTCAACACCCAAATTAAAAAAAAAAAAAAAAAAAAAAGAAGTTTTAGACACACAGGAGTCACAAGAGTATATTAGAACCAATTAATCACTGATCAGAGATCCATGATTACCTTGAAAATTAGAAATAAGAATTTTACTTGCTTATTAGACACAAAGGCAGACATTTTTGTCATTAGTGGTCAAAACTGGCTAGAAACTTGGCCTTAAGTCACTCAGAAACAAAAAATTGTCAGCACCAAAGAAGCACACACAGCCAAGCAGAGCATGGACCCATGAACATGCTGCGATTTGAAGAAAAGGACAGCAGTTATACAGCCTCTGATTATGCCCATCCCTGTCCATCATTAAAGACAAGACCTATTAGCCCAATAAAGAGTCACTCTGCAGACCCGTTTCTAATAATAGTCACTGTCGTTATTCCAGGCCAAGGACTGAAGAGCTGGTATGTGACCTCCAGCTCTGTTTCCTTCTCTGCAGTGATCCTCCGTCCTCTGGAAGGCAGAGCTGTAAGAGAAAGGCCACTTGGGTCCCCAAATTGCCATTTGGAAAGGAATAGCCCTGGAGATGAGCTGATATTGTATGAGGAAGGAATAAATATTTACGTGTTATCTCACTAGGTTTTCAAGGTTTTTTCTTTACTATAACATAGCCTAATCTAACATAATATATCAAGGCATTATGTTGAACACTAGAGATTTGGGGGGAAAAAAACCCAAAACCTTTATCACATCAGACTCTGCTCTCAAGAAGCTTACAGTAGAAGACAGACTTTAATAGCTGATTATTTGACAGTCTCAAATTATATCCTACAAATGATGCTGCACTCAATCTATTCTAGACAAACGCCAATTCTCATCTATCTTTAAATTAGGCTGTTCCTATCTATCTCATGGGAATCTTGTGAAAATCAAAGGATCTTGTGAAATGCAGAATATAGCAGTAAGAATAAAAGCTTTGGCGATTTTGCTTCCTGCTAATAGACTTTCTATTCTGTTCCATTGATCTATTGTCTGTCTTTATTCCAGTACTTCCCTGTCTTCACCAGTGTTCTTCAGCGGTTCTCCCCAGGTTGATCTGTAGATCCAACATAATCCAATCACGATCCCAGAGGCTCTTCATTAGAGGGACTTTGTAACCTGTTTGTTCCAAATAAGCTTATTGCCCAAAGGAGCTACGCTGTTTGGGACATATTAACTTTTTTACTTTTCTAGGTACAGTAGCCTTGTCACTGTTTTCCTCTGCCTGTGGCCAGGAAGCAGTGGTCAAAATACTAAATATATCTCTGAAGGCAATGGCTGTACCTTTTAGGTTTTCAGAACGCTGTCAAGTAAAAACATTTTAACCCATTTTTCCTCCTACAGACACCCACATATATTCCACCACAGAATTCTAAGACTTAACTTCCTAGACTTAACCTGGTATGATTTTGAAACAAAGTCTTCCTTTGCCCATGACCCCCGAGTTCCCTAACACCTGTCTCCCTAGGACCCTCTTTGCCAAGGTCCTTGCCTTGCATCCTCCCAGTTGGCTTCCGTGATATCTCCCATTCCCACCCTACCTGCCACTTCATCTCCTTTCTCAGTTCCAAGCACACAGAACACGCTCAGTGACAAACCTGATTCTGACATCTCCCAGTCCTCAGGGAAAGAGGTGTTTAGAGGCAGCCACTCAAAGCCTGGCTCACTGCTGGAGGTGTTAGGAAACACACCACGTCACTACCCACAGTTCATGCTAAAGAACAGGCTGAAGGCTCCAAGTTAATCTTTTAATGAAAACATCCTGCTCGGCAGTAAATAAACAACTAGGCCAGAGCAAGGCTGACTTTGAAAGAATTGTTGCTGGCTTTGCAAATTTACTTCAAAATTAAGTAAAGTTTTATTACCAAATTCAACTTCAAAGTGAACAAATGGTTTCTTTTCTCTCAAACTTTACATTGTCCTCTGCTCACCACAGATTGTTAGAGGTAGGGAGTGGGTGATTTCAGGTAGGAAATTACCAAAGTCCCCATGTTGGAGAAGGAGGGGCTTGTTTGTGGAGATGGGTTAGGGGTGGGAGAAGAAGAAGCACAGCCTGGGAGCCCGTGGGCAGGATAGCGGTGAGGACACAGGCCGGGACAGCCTGAGCTTTGGGAATTTGAAGGGTGCACAGTGTAGAACGCTCCCTGCCCACAAAACTGTCCTGGGAAATTAATTATGTCTAGATTAATATGGGAAGCAGGGAGAACACTGAAATGTTTGAGTGGAAAATTATTCAGGAATGTAGAAGAAATGTCAGGAAAAGCTGACTTAAAAGTGCATGGGAAAACAGAATGAATTTCTCCGGAACAGTTCCATGGGATCCCAGTACGGTCTCTAATTTCTCCAGGTCCCTTCATCTCCACTCCTTAGTTGTGGGTCCCTTGCAACGCTCCTCAGTATTGCCACAGCTCACATGTGTGACGTGCTTACGCCAGACACACACTACAAGTATCACTTCGTTTCATCTTCACAGAAAGATCTTTTCAAGATTGCCTCTTTTTCAGAAGAGACAATGAGATTAATGAACGTGCCCAAAGCCTTTCAGCAGTCATGAGCAGAATGGGGATTTGAACCTAGCCTGTAGCCAACACACAGAGGCAGGCAGAAACCCTGAGCTGTACCAATGACCATAGCAGTGGGGCTTGCCTGTCCTTTAAAATCTGTACTCAGAGTGCAAAATAACGAACTTCCCGCTGGCTTGTCATACCATCCCCACTCAAGGCTCATTGGTTGTTTATTTGGAGGGTAACCGCTACCCGCTATCTAGCCACTAGAGGACAGCATTACCTCAAAAATGCTTTCAAAGGCAGCCATAATCTGGGTTCTGGAAATTTCTTTTCCATAGCAATTTTGACACCCTCCATAATCAGCCTTGAGGCCATGTCCTCAGTCAGCTCTCACAGTCCCCTGATCCAGAACCTCCCTTGCTGTCTTCCAGACTTGGAATCTGTCCCTCCCTTCCGGAAGGAAGCGTGGTGATGAGGACACCCTGGAACATGGTGCTCCAACTCCAAACTGCAGCTACTCACTCACCTCCACATGTTACTTAAAGTCTTGGCGCCTCAGCGTCCTCATAACACCTCCCACACTGTAATGAAAAGTCGCAAGTTAATACTTAGAAGGTGCTGGTAGTGGTAGAACAGTACCTTCTAAGGTAATAATTGACTTTATTCAGGTGGTCATGGGTACCCACTGAGCAATATGCCTGCTTATTTCAGATGAAGAGAAATGTCGGGTCATTCTTGAGCTATCGTGACCCAGTCTCTTAGAAAGCAAATACAGTTTCACAGTAGAATAGACTGCCAAAATTCTTCATGATGGAGGGGATTAAAAGCATGCTAGGTCCTTCTGATCACTGTGGCCCTGTCCTAACCCAGCCATCCATTTTGTTTGAGGTGATTCTGGAAGTCAGGATGAACCCTGAACTGTGCAGTCCGTGCTCAAGTCCGTCAGGGTTAAAGATGAACACTTTGGTGCTGTGGTCAGTTTAACATTAGGTTGGGGAAAAAGTAACTGTGGTTTTGTTATTAAAAGTAATTAATGCAACCTTGGGTTGTTGCAAACTGAAGCCAAACCAGTCATAGATGGCTAAGTCAAACTGAAGACCATTCACACATTCCTGCAGCCACCAAGCCCCTAGTAGGTTACGAGCCCTTTGTAATGGCTACATAGTGGATGGGGGCAGCTGTGCAGAGTGAGATACAGGAAGATCTGGAAAGAAAGGCCAAAGGTGGGCCTGCTGGAGACCTTGGTCCAAGGCCAGTGACTTCCGGCATAGGATTGCATTGTTTGCGCTGGCTTTATAGGGTCTAAAGTAGGAAGGAAGTGTGTCCCTCTAGCTGCTGAGCTTGCTACATAGATCAGATTTGACTGGAAGAAGATGGGGTTTCTGGATGTGGAAATGAGTTAGATAGCAAGAGCTGGGATTACAGAACCTTCCAAGATCACGGAGAAAGTCAGTTGCTGGGTACAAGTAAAACGATCAGGATTTCTGGATCTGCTGGGTGTCTGGGGTCAAGGACATGGGTGCCTATGTGTGACATGCTGTGGGATCCACTCTCAACAGCCTGTTGATGTGAGAGTCACTGGCTTCTTGGAGCCAGTTTGTATTCTTCAAGGGGTTTATGTTGATCTGGGATCAAACACAACTTCCATGTCAGATGGCTTCAGCAGGAGAGAAAGCTTCTTCTACTGAGAAAGCAGAAATGTCCTCCCTAAAGTCACCTAATATTGTGACATCCTCTGTGCTCAGACACTCAGCACTGTGTGCTGAGCAATGATAAGGTGTGTAAAGGGCCTAGCATGGCACTTAGTACCAGTAAATGCTCAATGAATGGTTGCATTATCTTCAATAATAATAACTAATAACACTTATATAGCATTTACTAGGTGGCAGGCAGTGTTTTAAGGGTTTGTTAGTTCTTCACTCATTCGGTAGGGATAATTATTATCTCTGTTTTCAGATATGGAAGCAGAGACCAGGCATTCTGTAATTCAGAGCCAGCCATTCTGGCCCCATAGTCCACACTTAACCATGGTACTTTTAATTAATGCTATAAAGAGCTGCCCATAGGAGACCAGAACAGGGTCAGATGGCTTCCGGCCAGGGTGACCCAGGAATACTGCCAGAATAGGCAGCTGTTTCAGCTGGCCCTTTCACATAAATTGAACTCTATTTTCTTCTACCAACCCTAGTCCTTGGGTCTGAAACTGAGTCCACAGGTCCTGCTGTTACGTGAGCTGAAGTATGGCCATTTAGCCAAGGCTGTGGGCCTGCTGAACCAAGAGCTTGCAGGGAGTGGGAAGCCAGTGGTTAAGCTGGTGAGAAACTCTTCAAGGCTATCCAAGTCTTCAGGAAAGTTCTAATAGCCCACTGGAAGACTTTTGCTCTGCCTACATCAAAGCCCATTTTTAAAAAGCCTCTGCTTTGTACTCGTTGTTCCTTCATTCTGGAACATACTAATCACTCCTCATCCTTAGGACTCAGGTGATGTGTTTCTTCATTCATGAAGCCTTCCTCAGTGCCTGTGGGCAGAGCTGGCTCTGTGTGTGTATGTGTGTGTGTGGTTGCGTGAGTGTATGTGTGCGTGTGCAGACATGTATGTGTGTGAGAGAGGGAGAGAGAGAGAAGCTTATCATTGTCACACGATATTGCAGTTTGTCATTACAGTGTGGCTTTTTCAGGACTTTGAGTCCTTGAAGCCAGGAGCCATGTTGCATTCATTCTTGAATCCCACTGCCCAGCACAGAGCCTGGTACACAGTAGGTGCATGATGATTGTTGTGGAATTAGAGAACAGATTTTAAAACCCGAATTCTCAAAGAAGCAGGGGATAGGATGCAGTCAGCCTTACTTATACCAATCTCTGCCCAGTCTCATCCTGCTCTCTGCTTTCTACCATGGTCTCCCCTGAAAGCATATGGCCAACTTAGTGAAAAGGTCAGGGCATCTTGATCTTGGACTAACGTTTACATTTTTTAACTCTCAAGGACGTCGACATATCCAGCAGCTGAACTCCAAGTGAGCACACCAGGTTATGTTAGTACACTCAGCTTCATGAGGGGTAGCTTTATTAAGTTCTAAAAATCTAGTGAGACCCTCAGTCCCTTGCCCATATGGATACCACCTACTCCCAGTTACAGCCTAATATGGTTAGGCTGTGTCCCCACCCAAATTTCAACTTGAACTGTATCTCCCAGAATTCCTAGCAACCCAAGGTTGCCTTAATTACTTTTAATGGCAAAACCACAGTTACTTTCACAGCAACCTAATATTAACCTGTTGCGGGAGGGACCTATGGGGAGATAATTAAGTCACGGGGCCAGTCTTTTCCATGCTATTCTCGTGATAGTGAATAACTATCATGAGATCTGATGCATTTATCAGGGGTTTCCGTTTTTGCTTCTTCCTCATTTTCTCCTGCTGCCGTCATGTAAGAAATGCCTTTTGCCTCCTGCTATGATCCTGAGACCTCCCCAGCCATGTGGAACTGTCCAATGAAACCTCTTTTTCTTCCCAGTCTCGGGTATGTCTTTATCAGATAGCAGCATAAAAGCGGACTTATACAGTAAATTGGTACCATTGGGCGGGGCATTACTGCAAAGACACCCAAACCCGTGGAAGTGACTTTGGAGCCAGGTAACAGGCAGAGGTTGGAACTACTTGGAGGGCTCAGAAGAAGACAGAAAAGTGTGGGAAAGTTTGGAACTTTCTAGAAGCTTGAATAGCTTTGCCCAGAATGCTGACAGGGATATGGACAATATGGTCCAGGCTGAGGTGGTCTCAGGTGGAGAGGAGGAACTTCTTGGGAACTAGAGCCAAAATGACTCTTGTTATGTTTTAACAAAGAGACGGGCGGCATGTTGCCCCTGCTCTAGAGATCTGTGGAACTTTGAACTTGAGAGAGATGATTTAGGGTATCTGGTGGAAGAAATTTCTAAGCAGCAAAGCATTCAAGAGGTGACTTGGGTGTTGTTAAAAGCATTCCATCTTAAAGGGCAACAGAGCATAAACATTCAGAAAACTTTCAGCCTGATGATGCAGTAGAAAAAAAATCATTTTTTGAGGAGAAATTCAAGCCTGCTGCAAAAATTTGCGTATCAAGGAGCCTAATGTTAATCCCCAAGACCACAGGGAAAATGTCTCCAGGCCACGTCCGACACCTTCACGGCAGCCCCTCCCAGCAGACCACGGGAAAATGTCTCCAGGCCATGTCCGACACCTTCACGGCAGCCCCTCCCAGCAGACCAAGGGGAAAATGTCTCCAGGCCAT